AGGGCCTCCCCCTCCCCCCCCCCGCCCCGGGCCCCGCGGGGGCTGGCGCGGGGCGAGGAAGCCAGACTGCCGAGGGCCAAGGCAGTGCGAAGCCTCACCTGCGCGGACTTCAACACCGGGCCGTCGCCATAAGCGCCTCGCGCCCCGCCCCGCTGCGTCACTTCCAGCCCCGCCCCCGCGCAACCCGAAGGCGGGGCCGACTATGCGCAGGTGCCCCGCCCCCCTCGCCCGGCGCCGCCGCCACCACCACAGCAGCTGCGTGGTCCAGATGCCGAGCCGTACGCATGCGCACTCCGCCGCAGGGAATTTGGGCTCACTGCGAACCCATTTTTCGTCACTTCCCCTTCCTTCCCAGTCCCGAAACGCAAGCGGAACTGGAGAGGCGGGATAGAGAGGAAATTGCGCACGCGCAAGCGGGCCCTGGTTTCCCCCGCTTCTTCCTCTCGGATCTCGTGTGCCTGGTGTCCTGTGAACTAGAGCTCAGGCTTAGAGCACCGCGCATGCGTGGAGCCCGGGCATGGGCATAGCCATAGGGAAGTGGGGCTGGAAGGGAGCTGCGGAGTTCATGTAGTGACTAATCCAACCCGCTGTCTAACACAGGATCGTCCCTATCCAAACCATCCCATAGAAACAGTCATCTAAACTTTACATAAAGGGTGCCCCTCTAGCAGGGCTTCTAGCCCCAGGGAGCCAGACTTAGCGCCCCTTCCTGAAAGCGCAGATGGGGGACCCTAGGGATCCACCCCACACACAAACATGCACATTCACCCCTAGCATCTACACGCAGTCAGTGGGGAGCTAGACTTCTGCTGCATGCTTCAGACCCCTAACACCCTTTGCCCCCACCAGGTGCAAACACATACAGTAACCTTGGTGAGTCGCCCCCTAACTCAGCACTTCCCTGAGTGTGAGGGACAGCTTGTGTTTGTAAACACTGTGCTGAAGTTCATCATGCGTGAGAAGTCAACCTGTCCACTACCCCTGTAAGACACGCATAGCCCACGGCACACACTGACCACACCACTGCACCTTTGTTCCCGTGAACTTCACTTAGCCCTAAGACTTCATCACATGCTCACAGCCTGGCAACCAATACTTCACCCATAGTCATCCCACCTTCTCCGCTAAACATCCTTCCAAATCTATCCAGTAGTGAGGGAAGAGCAGAAATTATGCGTTTGCCCAGATACTCCATAACATTGTCATATATCATCCATGGGGGCCAACTGTTTTTGGCAGGCATGGCATAAATTAGACATGCTACCTCTCTGAGACCCACCCCAATTCCTTTGGGGTGTATATGAAGCAGTAAAACAATCTGTTTTAGGTAATGGGTTAAGAACCCATAGTCCCTGTTTAGACCATACTTAACACAATCCAATCTGTGAATGATTTCTTGTTCTGCAATTTTGTGTCTGAGTCAACTTTTAAAGTTTCACTGTATAAGAACAGCTACTCTGAGGTTAGCAATGTAAAGTCCAGGAAGATTAAAGGCTTTTGTCCTTTTTGGACTTGATGTCAAATGGGTGTTCTCTCATTGGTTCACAGAGGGGTTGCCTCATTTGTCTAATATAGACAGCAGAGGGGCACTGTAACCACATTGTAGCAGAAAGCCCCCTTTTTCTCTTGCCTGCATTTGCTCTCCCCTCTTTGGATATGTTTCTCTTTTTCTACCTTTTCTTCCTTCTTCTCTCTTTCACTTTAAGATAAGGAATTGTGTTTTAAAATTTGTGTGTGCGCATTTTGTATCTCCCCTTGTAGTTTGGTATTTTTATCTATTTGTGTGCCATGGCATTTGTAGCTTATATTTTATACTCCTCACCTTTCAACTTTCAACTGAATGTGTTTAGTTTCATAAGTAAATTATACATTGTAACAATGTTAACAAGGGCAGGAATCAAACTGCCCTTCCTTGTATCAGGCTGGCCCCTGAAAGAGCGAATGAATCAGTGACTGAATGTGTAAGGTGATTGAATGTGTAACACAGTAGTAGCAGACAGCAATTATCACCTGGAAGCTGCAGATCAACCAACCGAAGAACTCAATAGAAGACAATGTAACAACCAGGAAATCTCTAAACGTCACTGATCAAGGGCTAGAAGCCCTGGCCTGAGTTAATCAACGCCAGAGACCAACTTTTGGGCTGAATATCTCCAGATAGACCACTCCCAGAGCCCTATTCTAAATTCATCAACGGACTCCCAAACCTGCACGTACATGCAGACGACCCCTGGGGCTGACAGATGCCATCCAGTAGCCACCGAGGTGGGGGAAGTCCCACGGGGGTCAATGACCCCTGCATTGGGCAAACCTGAAAACTGGGGAGTCACCAAAGTCTGCCAAGGACAGATAAAAGGCAGTGAAAAGTGACCCTCAGTGGCACCCTCTTGATCTCCAACTCGACCAGACCTGTCCGGCCAGAAGGACCAGCCGGCGACCCTCTTCTGGAAGATAACACCACGCTGAAAGAAGCCTCAACGACAGACTCCAGTGCTTGTAGGATAGGTATACCTGACTCTGTAGCCTGCTACTGTGTGTGTGTATGTGTGTGCATGTGTGCATGTGTGGGGACCAGCCCCAAGGTTTATGATTACAGTGTTTCAATCCGCCTAATAAACTAGAATTTTAAGGATCCCGAGTTGGACATTTGTAGCCAACAACATGATGACATTGGTAGAAGAACAGGTGCATGAATCCCAGATGTTATAATCCCCCTTGTTTGGTCCAGTAATGATGTGATTCCTGTTGATGGGGGGGCACAGCTGGCATCTGGGTCCATTGCAGGGCCTGGTGCCTTGGTGAGAATAGGATTTAGGTAATCTGTTACTGGAGATAAATTGTTTGAGGTTTGAGGGATGCCTGTAAGCCTCCTACAGCTGTCTTGAGATGGTTATCATTTTCCAGGAAGTATTGGAGGTCATTAATGTTGCATCCAAGGTATTCAAGTTTGTAGGTGACAAGAGGTATTCTGTTGTCCTGCTCATGGGGTTGGTACTATAGAAAGTTGGAATGGAATCTGAATGTGGCTTTGTTGATTTGCAAGACTACATTTTTTGGATCGTGTTGTAAGTATAGGAATCCTTGCTTCATATCCTTGAGGTATGCATTCTGGTTGGTGGGATCAGAGCAAATATGGTTGTAACACAGAACTTGGCTATGAATGATGGAACTAGTGGTATGCTTAGGGTAAAAGCTGATGGTATAGAGGTAGCTGTAGCAAGCAGCCAGTTGGTTTCTGATAAAATGTGGTGGTGATGTTGACATTGCAAACTTTCACCATATTTTTTTAAGAAATTAATTTTCTAGGTGGAGTATTCCAGAGTCAGTTTGATGGAGGGATGAAAGTTATTAAAGGCTTGGTGTCAGGTATCCAGGTTGTAGCCATATTGGCCTAGAGGAAAAAGCAATCAGGACTCGTAGTTGAGATTATATCTTTTATTAGACCCACAAGATTTTTGCAAAAAAAAAATCTTTAAGTGCAAGCTTTTCGGCACTAATTCATTAATTTCTAATTAAAAAAATTTTTTTTTGCAAAAATCTTGTGGATCTAATCAAGGATATCATATCTACTTTGAGTCCTGATTGCTAAAGTCCTGGTGGAATTTCTCTAGAGATTCCTTTCCATGTGTCCACCTGATGATGTCATCAATGTTTTTTAGGCATACTAAAGAGATGAGAAGGCAGCTGTGAAGGAAGTGACTTCAAGGTATGTTATAAATATACAGGCATATAGGGGGGCGATATGTGTGCTCATAGGGGTGCCATGCATTTGTAGGTATAGGGAGTGTCCAAATCTGAATAGTCATGTATAAGGACAAAGTGAGAGTGTGATGGAAACAGAAGCAGAGTCATTTTGGGGGGCTATGTTCTTTATGACTTGTAATCCTTCTAAATCTAGTCAATCCTAGTAGATTTTGATTCATAATCCTAGTCTACCGTTTGTCACTAGATCATTTATTAAAACTAGAGGCATCTACTATTTACCCAAGTAGACCCTGGAAATACTGCCTTCCTTACACTAGCAATAAATTCCAACTAGATTTCCCTGCCAGAGGGATTGAGTGGCTAGGAACACTGAAAAGTAATTGGCCTCATGGACTTTGTTCAGCACATTTGTTACCGAAAAGCTCTTTTCCTCAGAACTTTATCTCTTTACTTTGAATGTGTTCATATATGTTCTCTTCCTTTTGTCACAACCCAAAAGGTGTGATTTTTATTTGTGTGCGCTTCGGCACTGCTAAATTGTCCCCGCTAAATTGCAGCTTCCTTGCACAGTGGAGTTTTCTGCTGCAGAGGAGAAGCCCGGTGCAAGGGAGAATTTCCCGCCAATTTGGAGCTTGTTTTGCAGGATGCATTTCTTTGCTGCAGAGGGGATGCTCGTTGCAAAGAGTCCCCGCCATTGGTATGCTAATTCAAGTCCCATTATTGGCCAGTTCTAAATTATTCACACGTGGCGGCTAGTGATTGGCTTGCTAGCCGTATAAGAGGCTTGAGTGGTTTCCGCCCAAGTTGGAGGACTCCATGAACAAGGGAGGAGGAGACTTCACGCGGTGTGAAGATCTCTAAGCGCTGCGGATCCTCACGGACCCAGTGCATTTGAAGCAGGCAACGGAGATCTGATCAATCTCTAGCCTCTCCCCGTCGCCGATAGAATTCCTAGACGTACCCCTCCCGCGCGCTACGAACCGAACCCACGGAGCCTAGCAAACTTCGTGTGGATGAGTGAACGGAAGAACCCACGGAGCCTGACAAACTTCGTGTGAGCCCTTACGATCGGCCTCAGAGCTCTTCTACCCGGGTTCGAGTCCTGCAGGTTTATTTTCTCGTCGCCGGAACCCTATGCGACGTACCCTCGTGTTCTGCAGGTTTGAGTTTTTGTTTTCTTTTCTCTTTCTGTAACTGCAACTTAATCAAGCTTTCCAGCCTACACCATTGCCATCTCGGTGTAAGTAAACAATCTTTTAAACTACCGATACGCGTCCGTGCCTAATTCCAGAGCGAAGGCCTTCCCTCTCCGCCCCCGCGTGCCCGGGCTGCTGGCCACAGCCCGCGTGCAGCGCGAAAAAGGGCTCGGGGCGCTCCCAGCCCGCACACCTTTGTGGGTTATTTTGAGGAAGCATGATGATATGATAAAAGAGTGAGGTCATACTAGTCCTGGAATCAGATTTACATTTTGGTAAATACTTCCCATTTTTTTTCGTATTTCTTATTTAATGATCAGTTTAGACAAATATG